GGCATGATATTAATCACTGGCTAACCTTCATTGACTCCCTATTAAGTTTAGGGTTCAAGCTGAGCTCTTTTAATACTGTTTTTGGTGAAAAGAGCATTGGGTCATAGGGTTAGTTGGCTTTAAATCTCACCGCTGGGCCCTAGACCAATTGTTTTAGCTCTTAGACCCTCACTTTCTTAGTTTGTGAAATAAGACTAACAACATCTACTTTGTTAGGTTGCGTTGAGAGGAGTGTTGTCGTTGTTAAGTACCATGGAGTCGGTTCGGACTCACAGTAACCCTGCACAGGATTTCCGAGGCTGTAAATCTTTACCGGAGCAGAACGCCTCATCTTTCTCCAGCGGAACCTCTGGGAGTTTCAAACTGCTAACCTTGAGGTTGACAGCCCGACTCGGAACCACTATGCTTCCAGAGCTCCTTTTGAGAGTAAGTTGTTGTTAAGTGCCCCCGAGTAGGTTCCGACCCACAGCGACCCTGTTAGGGGTTTCCCGAGGAGCAGCTGGTGAGCTTGATCCGCCAACCTTGCAGTTCAAACGGTTTTGCAGCCTGGCTCATTAACCCACAGCGCCACACCAGGACTCCCTTGAGAGTAATAGTACTCCTAAAATGAACAGAGTAGGAAACTCAATAAATGGTTAGCTATGTTATAGCATTTCACATGATCTGTGATCTAGTTGTGACCAGTCTAGAGAAGCTTCATGTCTCACTACACCCCAGTCTTCCAGTCACCCCACCCATTCACCCATTTGACTGACATTTGCCATTTTAATTCTTGAAAGAAGATAGGGTTTCTGCACATCTTTGCTTTGCTTATGTGTTGCTCCGTTTTAGTGTATCTTTCCCCATCTTCTGTCTGTGAGCCTAACCTAAGCATGTTTATGATTTTATTATCTTCATACACAATTTTGTTTCCAGTGAATCTCATTGAGTCAGTAACTGTGTGTTCCAATTCATCTTAGAAGCTCCCCCTAACTCCCAGCAAGGTGCCCGGCTCAGAACTGCCACTTAGTAAATGTTTGTTGAGAGAATTCCAAAAAAAATAATTTGGAATTTGGCTATTATTATTAGTAGTAATAATAATACTTCTTTTTCTTTCTAAAGAGACCTTTTGAAGGGGTGGCCCTCATTGACATGTGCAGTATAAATTCCACATTTTTCACAACCACTTATTTCTTTGAGATTATTTCCCAAATCTATAGTTACTAGAGATGCATGTTGCTGTAATTTTCAAGTTGTTTCTGAATTACAGTTATCCTGGATAGGGTTCCCAAGGCTGTAAATCTTTGTGGGAGCAGAAAGCCTCATTTTTCTCCCATGGAGTGGCTTGAACCACAGATCCTATTGTTCACAGTCTCATGCTTATCCTTCAGGGACATAGGACCATACAAATGTTGGTGGTAGGATATAATTTGGCAGCCATTTGACTAATTTATTTGTTTTTGAATTAAGTATGACCCCCTTTGAGTGAAGAGCACAAATTGTAACAGTAAGCACTGTGAATTTTTACCACTACTGGGGTCAAACTACAGAACATCATTTGAGTTTTAAATGTATTTCTACTTTGAAATGGCTCTCATAGCCCTTCTCTCCTTTATATCCTCACCCATCTGCCCCCAATTGATGCCCAATTATCTTCCTCCTTCTGGCTAATGGTAAACACTCAAATATTTGAATGGATGGATGGATACTGTTGAAAAGATGAGAACAGGTTGGGTAAATTATGCAACTTGACTTACCTATGGTGTTAAAGGTAACTACTGGGACTCAGAAATAAGATTTCCCCTATAAATATACAGTAGGGGTCCTGATGTGGCGCTGCGGGTTAACATGCTAGATTGCAAAGTAGTTTTGAACCGCAAGGTCAGCGCTTCAAGCTCACCAGTCGCTTCTCAGAAACCCTACACAAGGTCACTATGAATCAGAACCGACTCCACGGCGCTTAAAGACAACACATGTAGAGCAGTGTTTCAAAAGGAGGTTGCGAACACAGAAAGTTTGAGCCTCAGGCGGGTCGCCAGTCCTTCTCACCTCTTCCCGTCACCCATCTCTACTTCCGGCCTGGCTGGCCCCGCCTGACACCCACCCGGCGGCAGTCCCTTCTGCGGAGAGCCATCTATCACTGTCTGGATGCAAGCCAATCCGACAAGCTCTGACTTCTGCCAGCCAATGATGGGAAAGCAAGGGACGTGCGGAGACTGAGCTGGGCGACTGGCTCACTCTGGTATAAAGGGGGTCGTGCATCCTCTGAGCCCCGAATTGATTTTGGTGCAGACAGCGTTCCCTTCCGCACCAGAACTCTGGCGTCAGTGTATCTGTGGTGACCCTGAGATCGGGCCTAGTATTCTGGGATCTAGGTTTCTGACCTACCCCGATGCCAATTCTGCGCGAGGGAAAGGAGCGCCCTGAATCCCCTCCACCACCACTCCCACCTGCCCTAGAAGTGGAGATGGGAGGATGCTGAGAGATGGGGAGGGGCCCTGGAGATAAGAGGAGACGGGAAGGCAGGTCCTGGCGTCTGCTCCCGCTCAGAACTACCGGCCGCCCTTCCCGAAACCTGGGCTACGCAGATGGCACCCTGCCCGCCGCGTCCTCCCCGCCCGCCAGCTCCGGCCAGTGGAAGCCGCTAATGAGCTGCCTAGGGAGAGCCGGTGCCAGCTCGAAGAGCTCTGGGCCAAAGGCCAGGCCTGCCGTTCTGGCGGCTCCACCGGCTGCAGGGACCGAGAGGGGTTCTAAGGGCAGCGAGCATCCGTCCCTTCTGACCCAGTGAGGTCTCCACTTCAGAATCCCCAAAAGCCCAGCCTCCGGCACCTCGGGAAAGAGCTGAGCCCGCTTCCTGCCTTCCCTCCAAAGGCCCTGCAACACTGCGCTGACCTCCAGGTCTCCCCGCCACCAATGTGGAGTCTGCTCCTTTCCACGGTCCAGTCACAATGGGCAAGGAAACTTTAGTGGCCTCTCTGCCGTTTCCATGCTTCCTCGATTCACTCTTTGTAACCCAAATACAGATCCTAGGGAATATGGAAAATCACCTTTCACTCCAATATCCTGCCCTACGGAGCAGGGCTCTGTGAAAAGTTCTGTGATTCAAGCACAATTGGAATAACCGAGCCAAGGGGGGCGTGACTGGGTTGCTAGGAAGCGATCCTTCCCATCTGGGTGGTTGCTTAGGGCGGTGTCTGGAGCTGGGCACCGGGTGTGGTCGCATATTTGCCAAAGTATTTCTGGAGAATTTCTCACTTCCCGTCGCCACATTAGTCCCCAAACTCTAAAGGGTATTGCATACCCTTTACTCCCATCAGAGTTGCCTTTTGTACTGTTAAATGGTTTGTACACACAAGCTGTGTATATGTTTACAAAACTATACTTTTATCATTTTCCTCTAATTACCAAAGTAAGTAGTCATGTCCTATATATAACTATTTAATCCTTAAGAGTTTTATAATGCAAGACGTGATAACCCATATGGGCAGCTTGTATTAACACCCGGGGTTCGCTCTTTTCTCGTTTGTAGCGGCTGGCAGAATTTCAAGTGCCCACTCTGGCAATAGACTCGCAGGGTGGTCACGAGGGCTGGTTGCTAAGGCAACGCCCTGTTGCTGTCATTGAAGACCCGCTTGTGGTTACGAATCAGGCTGCGAACCATAAGGTCAGTAGTTCGAAACTACCAGCTGCTCCGCGGGAGAAAGGAGGCTTTCTGCTCCCGTAAAGATTTATAGCCTCGGAAACCCTGTTCAGGGTCGCTATGGGTCGGAACCAACAGGACGGCACTTAACAACAACAACAAGAACACCGAAAAGCAGTGGTCGGTCCCGCCCTAGGGGTGGAGTTAATTAGGGTAGTGGGACTCTGAGGGAGCCCATTCCCAAGCGTTCCCTCCAGGTGGCGCTACAGGATCGCAGATGCTGCCAAGGGGTGGGGATCCACTGTGCGCTACACACCGGCGAGGGGCGGGACTGGGGCGGGACGTGAACTGGTTGCTGCAGTCAGCAAGAGGTGGGAAGTAACGAACCTCACTCGCGGTATTGACGTTCAAAGACGCAGGAAGCGTACGCGTCACAAAAAGAGGAAAACTGGAGGTTCTAGGGCAGAGGGAGGAGAAGCGGACACGCGTCCCACAGAAATGCTTCTGTATCCTTCTGTCTTGTGCCTGGGATCCCCTCCACACCTTGTCTCTCTGGAAACCCGCAATTCGACACATTCAGTGGAGACACATTCAGTGGAACGTACTGGGCGCATTGCACACATGCATAACGTAGGCTTCCCCACCCCCAGCACCCGAATCCAGGGTATGTCCCAGTATAGGAATTCCGAGGTACCATGCATGCCAAGAATAACAGGCAAGCTGTTCCTCAGTTTGTCTGGAGGGAGCTTTACTCTCTTCCCCTCTGAAGGCTGGGAATAGAAAACGTAGTACAAGGAGTCCCCAGCAGTGTCACAGTAAGTGTACAGCACAACAAACTCGGGGCACTGTCTACTGCTCTGGCTTTCTTGGAAGTACTACCGTCCTTCAGTTATTACTCTTTGTCACAGTTGTACACAGCGACCCCACGATGTCCAGGGCCACTTGGTGTCAGTGTTAAGCTCCTATGTTAAACAGTCCCCTTACCATTGACCCATTGCCCTCCACAACCACAGGGACACCACCTGGGGCTGGGGATCCCTGAAATGCTTGAGCCTAGCATCTGGGACGCACACACTCTCACTCTCTCCTGGGTAGGAGACAAAAGCAAGTTTATTAGGGATCTGGGGTCTGCGTTGCCTAAGGTCCAAGTTGAGGCAGCTCAGCTGGTTCCCATGGGGCAATGGGCAGGCTGTGGTAGGAGAAGGGGTGACTCAGTGCTGGGACAAACCTCTGCATTTCCGAGTCCCTGGCAAAGATCTCAGGAGTCAGTTCTGGGAGGGTCTGGGGACACAGAGGCATTTCTCTTGTCCTCTTCAGTCTTTGGGCTTTTTCCAGGATTGAGGAAATGGTCTGGGGGCAGGGAGCCTTAAATCCACAGCCATTACTTCAGTATTGACCATTTAATTTGGTCCTTGGCTGACTGAAGAACCTGAGAAGCAGGCAGGGGAAAGGCAGAGAAAAAGAATTGGGAGGAATGTCAAGTGACTTTCTAGAACCCTGAGGGGAGGGAGAGGTCTACACCCTCTTCCCTAGCAGCCATGCAAATGGCGGTCATTAGGTGGTCACAGCCCCTCTTTGTCTGGTTTAAGTGGAGCCTGTGTCAAGATCAGGAAAAGTAGCTCTGGCTGGTTGCAACCAGCTTCCATATTGTACCTGTCCAGTTCTGGCATCTGCACCCTGGGAGTGTGGTTCCGGCTCCCCCACACCATGCCATGTGAGCCCCTGCCCACAGCACCACATCTAGGCTTAGAAGCTTCAATAAACCCCTAGTTCTGGCCTTGGCTGGCCCCCTAAATGCACCCACTGCTGATGTGGCAGTTGGTAACCGGTAACTAGCCAGTCCCTGCCACAGGACACCCGCGCCCTGCTGAGGAGTTTCAGTCCAGCATCTACACAAATCCAGACCCCTGTGTCCACACAGTGCCAACACAGCTTGGGCCCCAGGTGTGTGGACACCAGTCCTTAAGACTGTCCCTCTAGCCATTAAGTCCCCCCAAAGAGGGTCTATGCCATTCTGTGTGTCCCTTCCTCCTACACAACCTCGCTCCATTTATGGGGGTGGCCTGGCCCTGTGGCCCTCCCTGGAATCTAACTTCAATCCAACTTTCTCCTCCTTTTGATCTTTCATTCGCTTCCTGCAACTTCCTAGGTTTTATCCAATAATTCTATCCGTCAGAATGCTGTGTCTTCATTCTTCTCTTCTTTGGAAACATGGTAATGGTTAAATTTTACTAAGCATGTGTTACTTGCTGTGCTAAGGGCTTTGTATACATTGTTGTTAGGTGCATTGAGTCAGTTCTGACTCATTTCAGCCCTGTGCACAATAGAAGGAAACACCGCCTGGTCTTGCTCCATCCTCACAATTGTTATATTTGAGCCCCTTGTTGCTGCCACTGTATCAATCCATCTCTCTGAGGGTCTCCCTCTTTTTCGCAGACCCTCTGTAAATTGTTGTTAAATGCCGTGGAGATGGTTCCAACTCATACCAACTCTGTATAGAGATTCTGAGGAGCAGCTGGTGAGTTTGAACTACCGACTTTGTGATTCAAACCAACCTTGTGGTCCAGTGCTTATCCTACAGCACCACACCAGGACTCCTATGCATTAGCTCATTTAATTTTCATAATAAACCTTGGAGGATGGTCCTGCTTATATGTGAAGTCCAGAGAGGTTTAGTAACTTGCCCTAGAGCACACAGCCCACAATGGTAAGATGGAATATATATCCTGAAATGACTGTGCTCTTATCAATCCTTTTCATTGGCTCTTTAACCTTTCAACACTCTGAAATTCTCACGTGACTGTGTTCCAGCAGGGTCTGAGGAGCTATGGAGAACCAGGAAAAGGGAGTCAGCCAGGGGCAGTGATAGGAACGGAGGCACCACACCTGCGGCTCCACATGAGACTCATTTCAGCCCCATAGCGGAGAGAGTTAGTGAGTTAGTGCCAGGGCAGGAAACGCCACAAAAACAGGATTAGTCTGGGCAAGAGAGACCTGTGGACAGACAGAATGGCAGTCAAGACAGTCTGCCTGACAAGCAGGACATGTGCACCGCTGGAGACCAGAGAGGCCACAAACACAGGAAACTCCCCAACCCCACAGACACCCCCAGGTAAGACCACACAGAGGATGTGTCGAGGAAGACTTTGGCACAGATAGGTCCCTTGGGGGTAATGTAGTAAGTGGGGAGTAGGAAAAGTTAGATCTATCATGGGTCTAAGTTCTTTACCAATGCTCAGGGTGGAACCTAAGTGACAAGGAGTAAGGGTTTGGAGGCTAACTCATAATTGGTATCCTTTCCAGGTTGGGACCTCCATCTCCAGATCAACTCTGGGGACAAGTAACCCAGCCACCTCCAAGGTACAGCTTATCCTGGGTTTGAACCTAACTATACCAAGACATGGTGTTTTCAATAACCTCATATGCATGCGAAAGCTGGGCAGTGAATAAGGAAGACCATAGAAGAATTGATGCTTTTGAGTTATGGTGTTGAAGGAGAATACTGAAAGTGCCATGGGCTGCCAAAAGAACCAACAGATCCGTGTTGGAAGAAGTGCAGCCAGAGTGCTCCTTGGAGGCCAATCAGATGGCCAAACTTCGTCTCTCATATTTCTGACATATTGTCAGGAGAGACCAGTCACTGGAGAAGGATATCATGTTTGGTAAGATGGAGGGTCAGAGAAAAAGAGGAAGACCCCCAACTAGATGGATTGGCCAAATGACAGCATCGATGGACTCAAGTGTGGCAACAGTAGTGAGGTTGGTCAGGATCAGGCAGTGTTTCTTTCTGCTGTGCATAAGGTCACTATGGGTCGGTACCGACTCGATGGCACCTAACAACAATATCAAGTCCTGGTGTGGTGCTGTAGGATAGTCATTGGACTGCTAACTACAAGGTCAGTGGTTGAAATCCATCAGCCACTCCTCGGAAATCCTATACAGGGTCACTATGAGTTGGAACTGACTTGAGACACTTAACAGCAACAACAACAACAAATCAAGCAAGGAGATGAGGTTGACTGCTGGTTCCACATCCATCCATATAGGAATACACAACTGCCTACCACCTAAGAGTCCCTCTAGAACTCCATCAACTCTGTCCAAGGGATGGCTCATCGCTGCCTCTGCCCTTCCTTCCAACACCCTGATTTCTCAGCCTTGAGCAGAACCCTAGCCCCTTGGATGCTCTGGGCTCTTTGGCCTCTAGTCCATTTCTGGCCAGGGCAGACATAGGGGGCCTACCTGAGCCACGCTCTGTTCAGTCAAGCCACTATCATCTGCCTGTAGGGAGACAAAGTCAGAGGAAAGGGTCAGGGCATGATAAGGGGATTGGGCCCCAGGGGTGAAGGAGGGGACCTTGGGGATGGGAGTAGGGTGGTGCAGTGGTTGGTGTGATCTAGTTGAAGTCTTGCATCTTTCATTTGGAAGCTAGGACCCTTGGGATCCTTCTATAGTGCATGGAGGTTAAGGGGTGAGGGGGAATAAAAAATGGAAGAAAGGATTTTATCCAGACCTGAGAAAGCCAAACGAAGCAGGGTGTTCCTCTCCATACCCCCAACCCATACTCTCAAGGTCAAGACAACCACCTGGTACCTGAGGATTTATTTTTCAATATCTATGCTTCTCACTAGAGTCCCTGGGTGGTGTAAACGGTTAACACATTCTGATAACTGAAAGGCTGAAGGTTTAGGGCACTTCCGAAGAAAGACCTAGCAACCTGCTATGGAAAAATCAAAAGTTGTGTGATAGATGTACTTACAATGATGACAAAAAGAAAGGGAGGGGTGATATTGCTGAGGCTGCTTACGTATAACCAAACACCCCAGGGAATTCGGTTCCTGGATTTACTCATGGTTTCGTGGAACAGCCCAGTCAATTGGTGGAGTAACATTTTTAGTGCTCCTATTCTGCTTCTGAGTTCAGTGCAAAGTTCCTGGGGTCTTAAAAGTGTGTAAGCTGCCCTCAAAGGCACAATTGGTCTCAACTTGGAGCAACCGAGGAAGGAGAGTCAGAAATAGGAAGAGGACAGTGTTTGTGTGGCTAATTGTCTCCATGAACAACTGTCTTCTTTGCCATGAGATCAGAAGAAATGGATGATGTCTGGCTACCATTACTGAATATTTTGATCAAAGATTTCCAGAGACGAATCCTGATCAAAAAGGGGAAATTTTATAACAGAATTACAAATTCTCATAGACTCCAGATTTCCTGGAGCTATGGAGGCTGGATGCACCTCTGAAACTATTGCCCAGAGATCTTTAAACTCTAAATGAAAACTATTCCTTGAAGTCATGTGTAAAACAGAACAATGCTGTTGTTATTGTTAAGTACCATTGAGTCAGTTCTAACTCATAGGGTTTCTGAGAAGCGGCTGGTGAGTTTGAACTGCCAACCTTGTGACTCAAATAGTTTAGCTTAATTAGTTAAAAAAAAAAAGTCTGCCTTGAGCATTATGCTCTTTTAAGAACTGTATGGATGGGGCTCAGGTAGACAACAGCAACTGGAAAGATTACCTAGGAGACAGTGACTTTAGGTTAATGGGGGAGGAACACTCCAAAAAGGAGAGTGAGAATGATTACAAACTTCCTAAGAATGTCATCGATGTCACTGTTGAATTGGTTTATGTTTTGCTAAAACAATATTTAAAAACTTAACCCCTGAAAACGCTCTGGGGCTCAGTTCGAATCTGACACACATGGGGTTACCACGAATTGGAGTCAAAGCTACAGCAACTGTTACTATGATGATTTTACTAGAACTTTCCACTGGGTCAATGGTGAGGTGCCTTGGGATGCCAGATGGGGAGGGGATAGGACTGTGTCCTTCATTAACCGACTTCCCCAACTGTTGCTCCCAGCAACTGCATCAATGCAACGGTTGGTTCTTCAGAGGAGCTGGGGTTTCCACCATCCTGACCCAGACAGCCTCCCACACAGGGAGGGGTGGGGAAATGCAGTGAGGGGGAATGAGGAAGACTCTTACCCGAAAATTCACTTTCTGGATCACTTGCTGGGGGTCACTCTCCAGAATTACACTACAAGATGAGAGAAAAGCCAAGAGGAAAATTGGAGACATGATTCTCCCCTCTGCCTCCTTTCCCTACCAAGCCTCTACCCTCTCCTCAACACATACTGTAACATCCCCCTTCGGGTCCCCTTCTATTGATACTGCTCAGACCACAACTTGGCCTCACCATCGGTGAGCCTTCAGCTCTGATCCTTCAACATTTCAAACCCATGTGGTTGTCATTGGATAAAAATTTTGTAATCAGGTGAGGGTAGTCCATTCTAGAATGATCAGGTTATCAAAAGCAGGGACTCATAAGACTCAGCGTTCTTGAAACTTCACTTCCCCTTCTGGGTCTAGGAATGGATATTTTCCTGTTGTAGGACTCATGCAGTGAAGGAAGGGAAAGCCTGAGGCATCTTGCTTTGTTACACCATTTTATACCACAGGGCTATACATATATGTAAACTTTAACTAAAGGAACTCCAAAAGTCAAAATCTATGTTCCTCCCTTTAAAAATAATTGTTTAAATTGTGGTAAAATGTATGAAGTTTTCCATCTTATCCAATTTTAAGTGTAGAATTCAGTGACATTAATTATATTCACCGTATTGTACAACCATGACCACTATTTCCAAAGCTTTCTCATCACCCCAAACAGAAACTCTGTTTAAGTACTCATTAAATAATATTTCCCCATTTCCCACTCCTGCCAGCTCCCTGGTAGCCTCTAATGTACTACTTTCTGTCTCTGTGAATTTGAATTTCACTTATACAAAATACCTATTCTAGATATTTCATATAAGTGAAATCATGCAATATTTGTCATTTTCTTGTCTGGCTTCTTTCACACTTAGCATAATGTTTCTAAGGTTTGTCCATATTGTAACATGTATCAGAACCACATTCCTTTTTAGGGCTGAATTATATACCCACTCCTCACCAGCATGGTTAGGTTTCAAAGAACAGGATGTTACTCGAAATTTGGCATCATGCAAAAATAGAGGGTGATTACATTCTATAACTGCCAAATTGCATCATTGAATAACCGTGAAATCACATCACTGCATAACTACCAAACTACTGAGATCATGGTCCAACCAAGTTGACCTATAACCCTAACCATCATAACCACCTCTCACCTCAGTGTTCCTACTACCAGATGGATGTAGCTAATGTGCTAAATAGTTGGATAGTTGTTTTGTTTTTTGTTTTTCAACTATTGTTATAAATCTGAGCTGTGACAAATGAGGACCAGGCATTTTCCATTGTATATACATACTACACTTTGTTTATCCATTCAACCCAAGTGATGGACCAAAGCCAAACCTACTCTTTCATCAGTTTCACCAGTGGGAGACAGTCTTTAGTCAAAAGCAGAGATCCTGTAGCTTATAAAGCTGAAACATCAGGTGCCCTTCCTTCCACAGGCCCTTCTGAGGTTCTGCACTTATAATATTGTAGGGTATTTTTTCTTAAAGATTTCCCCAAATCGCATTTCTTTCCAGCTCCACAAAATCTGATCTTACTCCACTCACTGTGTCCCAGCAATTAGCATAGGCTTAGTAGTAGTAGACAGTCACTAACTACAGAATGAAGGAGGGAAGAATTCTGCAGGACCAATGTCCCAAGGAGTCATGGTGTGGCTCCTAGGATAAGCATTCGACCTCAAATTCAGTTTGAATCGCAAGGTCGGCAGTTCAAACTCACCAGCCACTCCTCAGAAACCCTATATAGGGTGGCTATGAGTGGAACCGACTCAACGGCACTTAACAACAACAATTTCTCAAGGCCCTCCTCCCCTGCCTCAGCAGTGGGGTACCATGTAGTGGAAATGCACATGGTTTTAAATCTTGGTCCTCTACTTCCAAACTATGTGACCTTGCAAGTCACTTAAATCTCTGACCCTCTGCTTTCTCATCTGTAAAATGATTGTCATTATAGAGGTATGTGGATGTTTTTAGATGTTCAAGAACTTTCTATTTTCCTTTGTTTCAGAGCCAGAACTTCTTTTTCTCCCTGAATATGGCCCTTTCATGCCACCCCGAGGAAATCTACCCACTAACCCTTTTCATAAGGATTCCTAGCTTCTTAAGACTTGTACACTTACTTACAAGCCTATCTCATTATCTGACATTTCACATTTTCAACAGTAATAAAAAAAAACCCTACCATATGACTACTTTGCACATTAACGATGTACGTTTGGCAGTAATGAACACCCAGGTACACAGTGAGAGTAATGTTGGCTCTGATGGTTCAGGCTGTGTCAACTTGGCTGGACCAGGATTCACAATGGTTTGGCAATTACGGGATAATGCAGTCATCCTTCATTTTAACATGTTGATTTTTGCATAATGACCTGTTCTTTGGAACCTAACCACGTTGATAAGTGAGGCGTGAGTGTAATAGCATGCTAACACCAGGCAACCTTTACTAAGCAAGAGCTATGAGCTTCAAATGAATTCCCACAATCCTATGAGGTAATGTCCTTATCATCCCATTTTAAAGATGGAGAAAATAAAGGTCAGGGAGAATAAGTAACTGGCCACAGGTACAGGAGTGAGCTCTAGGAGTACAGGCAGAGGGATAGAAGCAACAGGACTCTGCCTAGTTTCGTCCTTCCACGGAGGGGCAAGTACAGACGTACTGACGACTGCTCTTGGTCCCGGGAGACGAAACTGGACCGCCCCCAAATCTTGCCTACTCAACATTTTACCATATTTTGATGTTACAGACCTTTTATGTTTGGGCTTGGCTTTGGATAACATCAAAATCTATTTGCATCCCCATGGTTAGGGTAGGATAAGACTAAAGGGTGGGATAGGATAAATGAGACTATGCTGGGTAAAGGACAGAGAAGCTGGCCAGAGTCAAAAATGTACACAGTCTAACCCAGAGACAATGACCCTCCAAGGGTACACTCTGACTTTGAGTGACCCTGGCCACTCCTCTTCATTCCCTCCTCACCCGCCATCCACAATTTCATCCAGCACCAAGAAAGCTCCGTCCATGTTGTCCAGCAGCCAGCGCTTTTCCACGTTCTTCCTGAAGGCAGACAGAAACTCTTGAGCCTCCCAGTGGCCAGGAGGAACAGGAACCCTGCCTACATGAGGCAGATACTCACTCATGCTACAGAGGTTGCCTCGGCCTCCATTCACCTCCAAGAAAGGATGAAAGAGGGAATGTAAACAGCCATGTGAGCAGGAACTGAACAAGGGCTTCCTGAGCACAGGACGGATCTGTTTCCTCAAGCTCCACCTTACCCAACTGCCTACAATTTAGACATAGTGTATCGATCAAGGACTGAGTTCACCTGGCCATACCCTCTGCTGGCTCACTCTGCCACCATGGTGGTCAAGTCGAGGGCAGGGGTCTCGGAGGAGGCTGCTCAGGAGAAAAGCAGGGAGAAAGGGCTCTGCCCCTTGTAATGTATCAAGGCCTGGGGACTGGGGCTTTTAGAAGGCACAAAGCCTCACTCACCTGAACATGTGGTTCAGAGACTCAAACAGGCAGGTGAGTACAGCCATAAGCATCAGCTGGAAATGGGAGGCAGGGGGAAGAAAACAAGAGCGTTTGAACCTGAGAAGGTCCAAAGGGGACCTCCGCACTTGCCTACTGGCAGCAGTGAGCATTTCTCCCTTTTCCAGGAGGTCTGGGTTAGAGCTGTAGCAGGAAGCTAACAGCAATATGACCTTAGAGAGGTCTTCCCAGGTCTGGATTGCAAAAAACTAGCTTGTTCCACTAAAGGACACTGAATATATCTTTGTGTTTAAGAAAGAAGCCAAAGTCCCCTGCACAGAGAGAACTGACCTCATTTCCAGTCCTCAGAGAACCTAAGGGGCATCATGGACACACATTGTTCCCACAGAACCATTCTGGATGGCCCTCAGGAGTCTGGAAGGAGGGGTACCAATGGTGACCCCTCTAGAATTGAGTCTCTACCCCAGACCCCAAGGTATTTCCCACAGACCCTCCCTGCCACCCTGGCCTCCTGAATTCACCTCATTCTCGTAGGACGTGCCCACCACGTACAGGAAGAGGTCGATGCTGCTCTTGTAGACGATGGTCATGCCCCCCAAAAATGCAATCTCACCTGCAAGTGGAGGGGGCTTTCACCTCTGCCTGGCCCCACCTGGTACTCTTTTCCCCATCTCCAGCTTTGTGCATGTCCCACTATTTCTTTCATCCCTTTGCAAGGAACCCTTGGGAAAATCAGCCTTAGAACCACTACGATAACACCGCCCTATGTCTTTCTCCCAACTTCTACTTCATTTCTAGGGACTGCCTCATTTTGAGGAGCTAACAAACCTAGTTCCGGGTTGACCTCCTATCCAACCTCCCCATGCAGAGCCCCTTGTGGTGAGACCAAGGCTAGTGAGGGACTTACAACACACTTGGCCTCTCTAGTTGAATGAGAGGTCTAGGAGAGGTGGGGGGAGGAAATCTGGGGAGGGGCAGAATGGAATGTGCTAGGGAGAGAAGGACCTCAGAGAAAAGGAGTGGAGAACAGCTGGGAAGAAGAAAGAGCCTCTGAAGAAAAGGAATGGCCCCGTGGGTGTATAAGGCTGAAGGAAACAGATGTGTCCAGATGGAGAAGGTGATGATGTGCAACTAAGAGTTCTGGTAGAGGACAAAGTGAACACTTACTGTCAGTCCGGCTGGTCTTATTGAAGACATTTTTCTCAAAGACCATCTGCTCCTTTGTGGAGGGGAATGTATCATCATAATACTATGAAAAGGGGAAGGAGAACAGGGAATAACTGTTCTACAGAGCCTGGCTCCTTCCTGGCCAGCCATCAACAGATGATGGGTGTTGGCCAAGGAAGACCCTACCATGATGTCCCATTTCTCCTTTATTGTCCTCTAGTACTGCTCACCGTGATGTTGTAGGATAAGCACTAGGTTACAAGGTCAGTTTGAACTGCAAGGTCGACAGTTCAAAGTTATCAGGCACTCCTGGGAGACCCTATACAGGGTCACTATGAGTCGGAACCGACTCAACGGCATTTAACAACAACAGTCCTGCTCACTAAACCAAATTAGACTCAATGCTGTTGAATTGATTCTGGTTCACAGCAGACGTGTAGTGTAAGGTTTCCAAGGCTGTAATCTCCTTACAGAGCAGACTAGCCCATCTTCTCCCAAAGGAATTGTTGTTGCTAAGTGCCATATGACCCATAGTGATCCTGTATAGGGTTTCTGAGGAGTGGCTGGTGAGTTTGAACTGCCTACCTTGAGGTTCAAACTGATCTTGCAGTCCAGTGCATTATCCCACAAGTGCCAAACCAGGACACCCCCCAAGGGAGTTGTTGTTAAGTGCCTTCAAATCAGTTCCAATACATAGCAACCCTGTATAGGCTTTCTGAGGAGCAGCTGGTAAGCTTGAACCATTGATCTTGTGGTTCAAACTGATTTTGCAGTCTAGTGCATTAACCCACAGCACCACACCAGGTGGAGTGGTGGATTATTTCCCCATTAACCCACAGCACCACACCAAGGGCGTAGTGGTGGATTATTTCCCCATAAACACACACTGTAAGTGAAGAATGTCAGAGGAATTTTGAGGTCTGATTTTGGATTCCCCCCTGGTTTCTTGGACTCCAGGTGTGGTGCTGTAGGATCAGTACTGGATTGTAAAATCTGGAAGTTCAAACCCACCGGCTGCTCCTCAGAAACCTTATACAGGATCGTTATGAGTTGGAACCAACTGAATGGCACTTAGCAACAATAACCTGGTCTCTTGGAGGCTGTGCTATGAATTCAGGGTCAAGTTGGTCACCAGATCACTATTTCTATGCTGACCTGAGCCTACAGGAAGCTGGCAGTGTCCTGTCCTTCCTTACAGCCATAACAATCTTAGAATGGAAAAACTGGGGTGGGAAGCAGTCAGATAGCTTCCCTGACATTTCATAGCTTCTCAGGGAAGAACTGGTATTCAACATCAAGGATAGTCTGACTCCAAACAGGATCATTAATTGTTGTTGTTGTTGTTTTTAAGTGCTTTCGAGTTTGTTCTGATTAATAATGACCCTGTATAGAGTTTCTGAGGAGCAGCTGGTGAGTTTGAACCATCAACCTTGCAATTCAAACTGACCTTGAGGTTGAGTGCTTATCCTATGGTGCCACACACCAGACAGGATTATGGTGAAGATGAAATGTAAGACTTTCCCAGCATTCATTGCAGAATTAAATATATATATTTTTTAGTTTAGTGAGTATTTCTTCTGTTCGACTCAATTTCTCAATCTGTAACATGAATGGATCCTGCTGAGAGGAGGCCTTACCCCAATCTGATCTGCCTCAGACCCCTCAATTTTCTGGGAGTGGGTCTTGCCTTTTAATAACTGCCAAGGAGCACTGGTAGCATTGTTGTTGTTGTTGTTAAGTACCGTGGAATCAGTTCCGACTCATAGTGACCCTGCACAGGGTTTCCGAGGCTGTAAATCTTTATAGGAGCAGAACGCCTCATCTTTCTCCCACAGAACCTCTGGTAGTTTCGAACTGCCGACCCTGAGGTTAGCAGGCCGATTCGTAACCACTATACTACCAGAAAGGAGCTCTCCAGAGCTAATAAAGTTAATTTTGTCAACTGTGGAAATTTGGATAATCCTACTCTGGTTAAAACACCATGTTCATTAGGACAGATATTTGAATAGGGATGAAGTGAAAGCTACCCTGAGCTTGAAGTACATTTTTTAAATCCTGAGTTCAAATCTCCCAATAGTAACAGCTTGAGACCTTAGGCAATTTGTTAGCTTCTCTAGACCTCATTTTCTTCATCTGTGAGCTGGATTATTTAGTTTCTGAAATCTGGTTCTAAATTCTTAGATTCTTGCAACTGTGTTCACCAAGCTGTAGGAGAAAAGTGGAGGTTGCTTAAAACTTCAAGGTCAGGGCTTCTGGGTCCCAGGCTCACCATTCCATTGACCCCTTTTATGGGGTCCCTTCCCAGGTTCAGGGTCTGGCTGACCAGGGGGGTGGATGACAAAAAGACAAGTTAGGGCACACAGTAGAAACAGAGGAGACCCCTCCCTCCTGATTCCAGGGACAACAGCCCAACAAAGCAGAGGGATAGCCAGAATGACCAAGTGGAGAGCCAGCTGGGGGAGGCTCTCTCTGTTCCTGGGCTGCACTATCGTGCATCTTCAGGGCCACCATGTGGGTTAGAGTGGGGGTTACCTTGGCCAGCAGCCGGCTCCCATCACTGTCCAGGATGAAAACAGCCTTTACGGTGTAGAGGGAAGGCTCCTGCAACTGACACAGGGGAAGGGAAGGCTTTTGGCCCCTGAAGCAAAGGCTCTCTAAGTGGACACCCTGCCTTTGTCTCTTGGGGATCTGTTGGCCCCAGGGGTACATGCTCAGGCTTCAGCGATTCCCAACCCCAAAGTCAAAGGTGGGGGGCGGGGAAGGGGGAGAAAGTCCCAATCCCCTGCTACATAGGTGAACTCCTCTGGTGCTTTCTCTATTTCTAGGCTGAGGCTCCGCTGCAGGCCCCGGGAGGGCATTGAGCCTGTTGGGTGCAGAAGGTCCCTCGGGCCCAAGTTCTGTCATGCACTGACTGCTCCAGAGCCCGAGTCGGAGTGTATCACAGAACCTGGGCCGGGGGGACAGCGGCGCGAAGCCTCCTCCTTCCAGTTGACTAAACACACACACACACACACACACACACTCCACACACACACACACCCGAAGCTGGCCCCACCCTCTCAGTGTGCCCCAGCCCCCTGGCCAGGGCGATCTCCAAAAGCATGCACTGCAGTCTACAAACTTTCCTTACCCGTCCCAAAGGAATCTCAATCCACCTACCCTCCCTATCACTGCCCCAATTTGATCCAGAACTTCACCTGACTCAGGACAGGGCTTTCCGAACTCGGAGGAACTTTTTGTTCCCCGCCCTGGCCCCGAGTACCCTTCCTGGGGTTTGATCAGAGGTGGCACAAAGTTCCCAGCCGCCAGTGCGCGAGTTGTGAGTTGGCTGCCCACGCCCCTCGCGCTGCCTGGGGACCCCCGGCACCCGCCCACCCGCTCCGTACCCGCGGCCCTACAGGCTCCTTCGTTCGGGCTGGCGGCGTCGGGCCCCCGGCCTGGGCTGCCGCGGCCCCCTCCCCCGGGTGCGGACGTGGCCAGGCCTCGGGCCGCTGCATTCCGCTCTCTGTCTCGCGCTGACAGCGCCGCCTGCCCTGCGCCGCCCCCAGAGGCCGCCGCCTCGTACAGTCAGCGCCGCCCTCGGAGGCCGCCGCCCGCTGTCCGTCGGCGGCCAGTGGGCAACGCAGGCCTTAGGGCCCTCTCTCCTCCCATCTCGGGCCCAGGACTTTCCTCCTCCTGGTTCTCCTCACTCTCCTCGCCAGCACTCTCCGCCCCGCGCCGCACACCCCAGATCCTTCTTCCACCTCTCCTTCCCAGTCCTTAAAATCCCAGATCTCTCACATTCCTGGTTGCCCCCACCGGTCTTCCTGTTTTCGCCTGTGGATTTGCTAGCCACAGGTTGTCCTAGGGCCCACATAAGACACAAGCCACTCTCCTATTGTCTTTTGACCCCTCTTAGGGATTGCTGTTGTTAAGTGCCATCGGTTCAGATTCATAGCGATCCTGTATAGAGTTTCCCAGGCTTTAAAAAATCATTTAAATTTTTTGTGGAAGCAGAAAGCCTCATCTTTCTCCCACAGAGCGGCTGGTGGGCTCGAACCGCTAACTCTGTGGTTCACAGTCTTGTGCTTATCCTACAGAACCACATGCTCCCCATTGATCAAGTCATTCTTTGGGTCTTAGGTGAGACGGGTGAAGGTGTTCTGGAGTCCTCTTTGAAGAAGTGGCCCTCCCACTCTGAGAAAAGCTCAATGTGAACCAAGGCAAACGCGTAACAGCGTAAATACTCCTACTCCGCCAGTGGGGTCCTGGTGTGACGCTGTGAGTTAATGCGCCAGACTGCAAAGCTGATTTGAACAGCAAGGTTGGTGGTTCAAGCTCACCAGCTGCTCCTTGGAAACCTATACAGGGTCACTATGGATCAGAAATGACTTGACGGCACTTCACAACAATGGCATCAGGCTTTGGAGTTTTTTGGTGGAGTCCTGGTGTGGCGGCGCTGTATAATAAGCACTGGACTGGAAGGTAGGTAGGTTTGAATTGCAAACTCAATGGTTCAACTCACCACCAGCTTCTTGGAAACCCTGGCAGTTAACAACAGTGGAAGTATGTTGGTGGGTAAGATTCCACCCCAGAATACTCCCCCTTGTGGGAAATGCACACCCACAGCACTTACCTATTTACACTTAACATCAAGTTAAGTATTTTAAACACTTTTACGTAAATTATCTAATAAACCCACACCTGTGGGGCTTATGAGGTATGTTATCCCATTTTAGAAAGAAGAGAGACTCCATTTGGACATTTTCAAAATGGCTGAGTCCATCCCACCCCCTCCATACACAGAGTAGGCTGGGATGGGCAACTTGGATATTGGCTACCCACAGTGGGGGTTGGGGGGGGGCGGCGATTACAAAGGCAAGAAGTGACTGGCTTACAAGCTTTCAAGAGGGAACCTAGATCCAGAGGGCATGGAGGAAGGTAGAATCTCCACTGAGTAGTCTCCAATCTGTCTAGGCGGGGCTGATGAAAGGAAATGCAGATAGGTCTCTTGTGATACAATAGTGAATAATTGTTATCAGGACTGATTGTGTGGATTGAAAATGTAAAGGTAGATGTTTTATAGCAAAGGAGGGGAGTGATTGACTTTGCAGTCTAGGAGCGGAGGTCCCTGGGACCATCAAGGGAGAAGAGCGGAGAGTGGGAACCTACCCAGAGAAGCAGTCACACAGTGACGCCAGAGATGAAGGCAGAGACGATGACATGGAGAGATGGAGCAGCTGGGGACTTTAGACCCAGAGACAGAGAGGGGCTGTGTGCTGACAACCGAGGGGGGGAGGAACAGGATTATAGGATATACCTTTTGGTTGGTTGATGATGCATGGAGGGGATTGTAACTATGCCAATGAAATGGATGATGGAATGAATGTAAAGCTAATGTTTTCCCATGTAAGCTATCTCATAATTCACAATAAAACATCAAAAGAAAAAAAAAAAAAGATGGCTGAGTCCATTCCTACCCACAGTGCCCCTATGACAGAGCAGAACTGCCTCCGTATGTTGTGTGTGTTTTATTTGGCTGTAATCTCTACAGAAAGACTGCCAGGTCTTTCTCCTACTGAGCACCTGGGTGGGTTCCAAACCACCAACCTTTCCATTAGCAGCTGAGCCTTTAATGTTTGTGTTACCAGTGTACCTCTTCAAGAGAGTACAACTAATAAACAGTTGAGCAAGAATGGAACCCTGGTTGTGGACTCAGAATTTCTTCAAAGCCTCTTATATTGTATATCCAGGGTTCAAAGGCCCGTGGGTACCACATTCATTCATTGTAGAAAGAAGGTTTTCCTCTTCTGAATAGCATCAAGTCGCCTTAATCTTTAAATCTCATCATTCAAAGGCCCTCTCTGACCTTACTAACATGAAAGCTCTCTCTTGTCATGTCCTCCATCCCAGCACCCATTACTTCTTTGAGCATACTTTCCTTCATTTCTAAATATCATTTTTATTAATTTCTTACAAATATGTATGGTCCATCACTCCAGCAGACTTTGAGCACCATAAGAATAGTCTTGCTCACTGTTAGTTCACTAAAAGTCTAGTTCACTGGTGAACAAGGCCTGGCACGTAACAGAGACTTAATAGACGTTTGCCAAGTAAATGAATGAATACATTAATTCAGGATGAGAAAAATCATGTATAAAAATTCAAAAAGATGACCTATTTTAAACAAACTTCAAAATGTTCTCATTTTGGAAATAGACAATGCTAGCAGCTGCACAACATTGTGAGTGTAATTAATGCCATTGTATTGTATACTTTAAAATAGTTAAAAGGGAAATATTTGTTATATAGGTTTTACCACACACAAATTTGTTTTTAATGTACCTATCATGAAACCATACTTGATATGCTGAACAAATATTTATCGAGTGCTTATTATATACCGGGTACTTTTCTAGTCACTGGGATACAACAGTAAACAAAATAAACGTATTTGTTACGTTCAAGTGTTTATTCGTACACATGCATGTGTAGGCGTAAGGTAGTTAACACACAGTTTAAGTGGAATAGAGTTGGTGATGATGTCATGAAGAAAATTGAAACCAGTTGCTGTTGAGTCCATTTTAACTCATGGAGGACCCCATGTGTGTCAGAATGAAATGCTTCACAGTTTTCAATGGCTGATTCTATGCAAAGAAATCACCAGGCCTTTTCTTCTGAGGTATTTCTGAGGTTAACTTAAAACTCCAACCTTAACCATTTGTACCACAAGGAACTTGAATATGGGGAGAGGCAGAGCACGAGGCCAGCAGGCTGTTTTCAATAGGGCCATTTGAACAAAAATCCGAAGGGGTGAGGGAGGGGGCCATGAAGACATGAGGAACATCCACCAAACCTCTTTCTAGGATGATTTAGAAGGCACATTCCAATCTTTTTTATGAGCCATCTGAGTTATAAGAGTTAATAATCACTATTAGTTACAGAGGAAAAAAAGACCCAGTATTTGCTTATTTGATTGGATTCTAGATCATCAGATGTTGCTGTCAATGGAGGTGCTGGCTAGGCAAGATATAAAAATATAAATTTGATTATTTTGGCACATTAATACTTCTGTGAGCTAGTCAATTTTTAGTTCATATGGTTGGTGGTGGTTATGTGCCGTGGAGTCGGTTCTGACTCATAACGATCCTGTATGTATAGATAGCACGAAAGTCTCCAAGGGCATATCCCAGCCTCTGTTTGGCATATGGTACCCATTGCAGAAGAGGGTCAGCCTGCAGGAGGAGGGAGGGAGACCTGGAAAGGTAGGAGACACCGTGAGCTGGCGTGGCTCCGTGGCACAAAGAGTGGATGAGAAGGCACTGAGGTTGAGAGGTCAGAGGAGGAAGCAGCCTCATCCCCACCCACTCCTCCGCTGTTGAATTGTTACAATCACCAGGACCTCTGCCTCTCAAGTACAGTGTGAATAAGTAAATTCAGAGCCCTCAAGTTCAGCTTTGCAAATAAGAGATTCTCCAAAATCGCTCAAAAGAACCCCCAGGATTCCTCTTTTCCTAGGCCCCCTGGCTCCCAACTTGAGGCGTACCTTGAATGGTGTGCTATGTAAAAACCAAGTGCACACTGGGTCAGGACGGTGTCTTCCACAGGGCATCACCCAGAGGACTTGAGAAGTATACAGTACAGCAAAAGAGAGTTTGCTGCTGGCCAGCTTCCCCAGAATGAGGTCGCCAAAGGTGGTTTCAAAAAGAATGCAGCCTTCCTGTTTCTCTGCTCTCTGTGTCCTCTTTGCCAGGGCAGGAGGGGAAGGGCAGGGGAATAGCTGGACTTTGAGTTTGTCCTGAAAACCCTTCCGTCTCCAGGAGGCTTTGGGCCTTGGTGTATCTTGGAGGAGAGACCACTCCATTTCCTTTGAGTCACCCTCCTGCTGCAGCCTTTTCGGTGCTGTCTGTCCTAGGATTTCAGCATCTGCTCTTGTGTGATGAGAAGAAACAGCTCTCTTGGGTAACAGCCTCTCTCTATCCTTCCTGCTCTGATATCAAGAGGGGGTGGGTGGTGTGTATGGGGAATGTGTGGCATCCTTCAGGGAGAAAATGAAAGCTTCCCTGTCTGCAGGATGGGGTTCCAGCAGACCATTCTAAGGGAAGCTCTTGTTTCTTCACACATTCGGTACAAAGTGGTGGGGTAGATGAAGAGAGAGTTGAGAGGGAGCTGACATAGTCCTACCCATGCACAAGTGGCTTTATACCCGTGGTCTGATTGCCACCCTTTATGAATATGCAGATTGTTATCTCTGTTGAATTAATACCGTGGACTGACAAAAGAATGAACAAACCTGTCCTGGAAGAAGTACAGCTGGAGCGGCCCTTAGAAGCAAGGATGGGGAGGACTGTCTCACATACTTTGGACATGTTATCAGTAGGTACCAGTCCTTGGAGAAGGACATCAGGGTTGGTACAGCGCAGCGTCAACAAAAAAGAGTAAGACCCTCAATTAGACAGACTGGCACAGAGACATCAGCAATAGGTGCAAACATATTAAGGATGTGAGGCTGGCACAG